TCGAGAGGGCAAAAACATTTTACCTCATCCTTGACGACTGGTCACTAAGGGTCAACAGTGCCATGGAGGAATCAAAATTTTTAAACATTAGCTAGCACCTTAACTGAACAACGATCAACTTTACAACAGCTGCGGGCTTCAGCATTCGAAACCGGTTTGTGGTGGTTTGGAGACTGACTTCGTCGCCATGTTTGCCACTTGGTATGACTGGCGGCGACCTGCGTTATACCGTTAGTTATTCGGCACCAGTTGCCAGGTGTCTCTATGGCATGTCTGTTATAGATGAGGAACGACGAGGTACTCCCTCGAACTTAATGTAAGAACTTCACAAACGTCATCATTCAGTAACAAAATATGCCTTCCTCCCCAGAACGCTTTCCATTATCCAAATTCGTTGCGGAAACTTAGCAAAAATCAAAGCAGACGACATGGAGAGGGGCTAAGTACGGGGGGATGCGTGTCCTCTTGAATTTACTACCGTAGTCGTTTAAAACGACTGGCTGACGACGTGCTGGCAATCGGAGTTAACAGAATTCACTTTCCACTTTGAAAAGAAAAATTTAGTTTTGGACGGAGTCACTTAAACTCAAATCTGAACTATATGACTGCGTATCGTCTGCATTAGTCTCCAAAATGAATATAATAAAATCTCTTAGCTACGACGACTGTCTTTGAACAGAAAATGACCGACCGTTCATGGACGAGACGAACCCCGAAGGTTCGATCGATACTTGCGGATGGCGTCGAAAATGAGGCAATGACCTACTGAATTCCATAAGCCAAACTTTGACTGTCGACGTTTCTGTTCATTTGTACATTCTGCATTCCCTGCTTTGACGAGCCCGTTTGTGCTACTACTATCGTTACTGAAGCACATCGACCTGAATGATTAACATTCACTTCGTCGTCAGTCTACGTGGAACGTAACAAATGTTATGCCCCCCCCCGTCACAGCTATGACAATGAATTCAGCGATCAAAGAAGTCAACTGTCGCAAATTTCAGGCCTCGCAAATTGCGAAATGAAAATCTGTGCATTAATCTACACCCAGAGCACCGATTGCTGGCGATAGGTTGATGTCACTAGTTGTAACGGATACTTTCTGAGTGCATACTTCTCTGTACTCAATAAAATCCATGAATCTCTCTCTCTCTGCAAGTCCGTCTATCTGTTCGAAATCGATAAGGCAGAAGTGACCAGGTGGTCAGTTAGGATCACCGATTATGCCGAAAAGCCATCATTATTAAAATTTTAGCCCTCTGAATACACACAGGCAGAAAAATATCACGTTTCTTTATTAAGTGAACTATAGACAACTCGTCAAGTTCACACCCTCGCCGATCTTTCTTTCTTAGGGTGTGGCTTTCACTTTCTACAGGTATTAAATAATAATTGTCGTGCTGTTGTTTCCCAAGTATGTGATTGTGCTGAAAGCAGGAAGAAGAACCTTCCTGCTTGGTATTAGTAAATACTGAACAGGAAGTCTCCGGGCAGACGATAATCACTTATTAAATAATTGTTAAAGCTATCTGTTAAGTTCATCAGTAACACGACGATCGACCCCCACAGTGACCAGTGGCCACTTAAGTCACATAAGTCACCCTACAACTCTTTACACACTAGTACTATAGGACAGATGTGCCAAAACGATTCACAGTTTCATTATGTTTCATTGGCCAAAGATGAAAATTTATATAAACAGGGCCGCGAACGCGAATTACTGACCACGCTGACGGCTAGCGGTCATTAATCATCATCCTCATTGCTGAATAGACATCATTCGAAAAGTAATATAAGACGAATGGACAGACCGCATATTTCTAAAAGCTTAACAGGCGTTTAAACTTCTGGAAGGTCAATTTCCCAAACATTGCGATCACGTGGTAATAACTACTGAAATCCATAAATGTCTTGACCGTTTTTTCTTCGATAACCTAGTTCGATAACCGTTGGAACTTTTAGAAATTCACCAACCGTGCTGGTGACCAGTGACGATTAATGGTCGCCCCTTTGCTGAATGGTTATCAATAGCAATTGCGTTACACTCAGGCCTCCATGCCTCTATCAAAAGTGGATTGGTGAAGTTTTAAGGTGCTTTAATGACAAAGTGCAATCACTGATCACTCCATTTTCTGTCATGAAGATCAGCCAGTCGGTCAGTCAGTCAAATTGCATGGAAGCTTTTCCTTTTGGGCCCCGGAAGAGTCAGTGTCAGAGACGTGTCTCCAACCTTCACTCACGATTCTGTAATAACACTACTATTAATATAATATAGTACTGCAAATATAATAACAGAAATTGTACAAAGGCTGTCTGAAGCTGAACTGTCGGTACGGGTGTAACGATGTGCTACGTTCTGTTAGAGTAAGTCGAGAGTAGATGGAAGAAATAATCGCCAAAGGAAGCAAACCCGGCAGAAAAGCTGACTTCTTAGGTCAGCAGCAACGGCGTGTCTTTCATATCGCCCTAAATTCGGAAAAATGACCATTATCAAATGATAATAACGACTGAAATCCACAAGGGCCCTTCAATCTTTTCGTTCGATCATCAATAGAATTATTTAGCTACTTCTGACCTCGCCAGTAACC